TGTGTTCTCAAGTCTCTTACAAACCCATGATCCAGGCTTTGGGCCTGCTCCCAGCAAAGTGAATGGCAAGATTCCCACTGACTTCATTGCCAACACTTATACTGGCTTCAGTGCCAGCAAGGCCAGTCTGATTTTTTCCCCAAGAATAAGTGCAAGAAGGGAAGAAGTGGAAAAAAGTGAAATGTGTCAACCTTGATTAGACTTAGATCATAATAGTCTTCAGTAGGGACCTAATCCAAAATCTGCTGCTGGTGGTGGAAGGACCCACCATGTCTTCAGTCAACTTAATCCCCAAGTAGTCCCTCTTATTCCGTTAGGGCCTGGCCTGGGAGGGCTCTTCAGAGACCTGGAGTGAAACAATATTGACTTTTTTGTCTTTGTCTCTAGCCTGTTTGTCCCCAGTTCTAGTGGGGCGAGTGAACTGAGCCTGCAGTAATCTCCATCCACTGTTTGAGCGATAGCTCAGCATTCTTGGGATAGTTCTCTGAGCTGGGTGTTTGTCAGGGTTAGTGCCAAATGTTCCACAAAATGATGAGCGATGACATTGCCAAACAAACCCCTGGAGGTTTGCTTCTGCTGGCGTAAGAAAAGGCAGACTCACCAGAGCAGTAATGACCTGAAGTGTATCGACACGCAGAAATCTTGCTAACATTCCCTCTGGCTGTGATGGACTCTGGATTAGACCCGCAGATATTTGTACTGTTTTGACTGCTAAAAACAGCAGCAAACCTGGGTTAAAAGCTCGGGAAGCAAGATTTATAGCTGTTTTGCATTGTGGGAGCCCTGTCAAGGTGCTGAAGCAGTGTAAATGAATCTGGGCCATTTGTTTGCGTTCCTCTTCTCAGTTTTGCTAAGCCTTTTTATTTATTTTTCTTGAATATGTTCACATGCATCTTTGAGCCCACACAGCACCTAACACAGTCAATCTCCGAGAAGCCTCCTTTGAAGAGTGTGGAGCCAGGGCTCCTTTATTTTTTAAACAAATCTTGCACCCGAAGCTGAGGAACGCAATGCCCATGCTTGTTTAAGTGAGAAAAGTACCTGACTTTGTACAACATCACCTTTCCTCAGGTTGTTTTTGATTTTTAACCATCCTTTTCCTTTGCTTTGCCCGACACCAAAGCAGGGAATTATTTTTTCTGACACTCTTCTGTAAGGCTCAGACACCATGTGCCCCCAAGCAGTCAAAAAGCAGCTGCACCAGCTTTATTTTTATTTTTGGAGGTCAGCTCTGGGGGAACCGAAATACTTTCTGCAGTCTTTGTCACATTTGTTCAGGTTTTCTGGTTATTCTGCTAAAACAGGAAGCTCTGAATCGGTATATTTATCAGCCTTTACAGTAAGTGGCTCCTTGTTTTCCCCACAAAGTTGGGGCCAGGTACTGCCCCCTTTACTTGAAGCGAGCAGTGCACTAATCTGCAATGGAGACTTTTGAAATCAGTGGGATTACTCAGAGCACAAGGCAATGCTCAGTCCCTGCTCAGCTGCAGTCAAGGGCAGAACTCTCACAGGGCGACATGCATCATAATAATGGGAGGAGAATATGGCCATTCAAAAGGTTCAGGAAATTATAAATTAAATCATTTTGAAATGCAAATAAACCTAATACACTAGGGAAAGCATAGTGATCATCATTCCCTCCATTCACTATAATCAGTCTCCAAGTTGTTGATACTGAGAGATTAGTCGTGATGTTTCTGGGGCAGGAAACGTTTTCTTATTGATTCTATGGTCCCATGGTGGGGCCTGGCTCCTTGATCGGGACACGTCTGTACAACAGCAATTGCAACGACTGCAAATTCACCTCCGACATGGCTGCACAACAGCTTCCTGGTGCAGAACCTCTTCTTGGGGAAAGGAGGAGGAGAACATTTTAAACCCCTCTTTGGAATGGTATCTGGTACCGCCACTATTTACAAGAGCCTTTCAACATGTTATGATTAAATGAATTTGGACGCAGCAGCTAGCCCTTCCCACTGAAATGCAGCACTTGGATGAGATTTCCTTGCCGAAGCAGCAATCCATTTATGCGTTAGGGGGAGGGTAAACAGAAGGGAAGGTCCCAGTCTTGTCCAGGTCTCTGACGTGAGTTTAGTTGCTCTTTTTGGGGGGAGAAAAGAAATGCTTGGAATTTAACTTTCAGTGTCATTCTTGAGGCAGCTTTGCAACAGCCAAATGGTTGAGGCACTTCTTACATTTTAAGATCAAGAAGCACTCATGTCCTGCCCATAACATGCCAGTCCCCTTCCTGTTAAGTCAATGCTCACTTGCAGCAACAACCTCTTAATAGCAACATTTCCTCTGGTAACAATCTCTATACTATGCATTCAGCATCAGCGACAACCGTTTAGGAGCAACTGGTAGCACTGGGGTACCAACAACTTGCTATTAATGGGTAGAGAGACTGCATTAGTCCATGGAAGGTTTGTTTCAATATTAGAGTGAATCCACTTGGGAGTGTGCATCATGGAAAGTCCCTGGAAATCAGTGGAACTTACACGAGCAGAGGATCTGGGCCTCTCTCTGACTCTCTTTATACAAACTACAGGTAAAACCAGCGTGGCTTTTAGGGGCCAAATTCTTTTCTGGTGGAAATTGGCATAGCTGCTCTGGCTTCGGTTGAAGCTACATCAGGTTTTGCTAGCTGAGAACGTTGCCCAAGAGCCATATACGTGTAGATATCTTTTATTAGACCAACCCAATTTGGGTTGGTCTAATAAAAGATATCAAATTCACCCAAGGAACCTTGTCTGCCTATGTCCTTAGACCAACACGGCTACAACCTACACCCCTACATACATGTAGAGGAATTCAGCTTTATTCATATCATGTTCTTCAGTGGAAACAAAGAAACCCATGAAACGCTGATTAAAGTGAAGGGTTGATTTGCACAGGCAACGACCTGACTGCATTTCAGTGGTTGTATTGTCATTATAACAAGGTTTTAGGCAAGTTTGATTTTTACAGCAAATCAGCAGTGTTTCAGCTTCCCCCTTTATTTTTAATTTTTGCAAGCAATTACTAACTAGATGCTCTTGTGCAGCAGTGTTCCAGAATGTAAATTGTACATGGGCTGACTGGCACATATTTCAGTAGTGTTCACCAAATTCACTTTTCCAGAACCCCCGGACATCAAGTCCCCACCAGGCCTCTGTCTTGCTTAAGTCTCATTTGAGCCTTATTGTGAGGGTGTTGGTAGCACACATACCCTCTGGATTGGGGAGAATTTCATCTGTAAAGAGATCAGGAGATAGAGGGAGGGAAGGCAAAGTATTAAACCTTTAAAACCTTCTGGGACCTATGTTTTATATCTTAAAACAGAAGAACAATGATAGCCTGCCCAGATATTTCTGCTGCATTTGAAAATTCTGTAATAAATATAAAAATAATTAAAATATCTGACTATTACTTTAACAACACGTATAGACAAGAGAGAAGCAGAATAAACATAAATCAGTTTGTTTTATCCCATGAAGAATATGTTGTATCTTTAAATAAACATTGTCTGGGTTGAATTATATTTTAAATTAAATATTTGATATGGACTTGAGTATGTGCAGTTATACTCAAATATAGAAGTCAGTCAGAATCTTTAGAAAGGGAATTTATCAGCTGGTATATTTACAAACCAGGGTTCCTTGGAAGTGCGGCAGCTCACATCTTGATATCAGTGGTTTTATAAATACCATAGCTTCCTGAGTTTTCATAAAATGCAGCCTCCTTGTGCCATTAATTGCCCTGAAATTATAGCCTGATAAAGCTCAATAATATCAAGTACTTAAGTACTGTACTTTCCTCTGATTCAAAATGTCACAAGACTTTGTGATAGGCTTTTTCACTGGTTGCCAGCTTAGCTTTTCCAAGTGGATCTCTGCAGTTTATTGGTTTAAACCTTTGATCTGCCATTGTTATACCAGGCTGCAGAGCAAGAAAAAATCAAAGGAGCACTCTGAGAAGCGGGAAGGTTCAAAAGAAAACACTGTTAAAGTAGGTGGACTGGGTAAGCAGTTAGCTGCCACAATTCACACTCAAGCTAAGCACCTTCCAATCCTGCTGGCAAGCAATAAACAAAACTTCATTAAAAAATGAAGGGGACTTCATTCAAGGTAACATGAACAGTGTTCACTATTTCAGAGAGTACTGGAGTGTATGCTTAGGATGAATTATGTGCTAAGATATTTTTATACTATGGTCAGTGCTAGACACCTAACGACCTGTTGTGTTATCCATGCATTACAACACAGGGGTCAGATTCTTCTTTTATACACGTGTGTTCTTTTATACACATCTGTATATATAAAATGCTACATGGATTCACATGTATAAGTATAAAGTTTATTATATGTATATATGTTTATATGATGACTTGCGTGTGCACGTGCATATGCATGCACATGTAAATAATGCAGTTTCACATGTATAGTTCATCCCCACGCCCTGGAGGAATACAGCATAATTCTACAGCTATTGTTGATGGAAAGGTCAGGCATATTGTGCTGTGTAATAGTAATCACTTTTCATGAGTTACCACATCCTCCCTGGCTCTTTAAATGACTAGACTGCTATCCCTATTTGTTTAACAGATTCAGTTCACTATACACCATGCACAGTGTAACCCAATACCCATAGTCTTGTTCGAGGGGGGAAGAATCCCTGGGCCTAGCTCTCAGACCTACCCCAATCCTGTGTTCTGCTCAGAGTGCCATGCTGAGGACCCATCCCCAAGCTTTTGGCCACATGCTGCTGGGGAACAATGTGATGCGATAGCCATTAGCCAAGGTTGATGATTATGAAGCGGGCATAGGTCTGGAGGCTTCCCCTGGCAGCAGGTTGCACTGATTCCCAGGGCAGGATGCAGGGCCCTCTGGAGTAGAACGTGTTAAGAGGGCAGTCTGCAAGGGAGGGCATGGCACTGGGGCTTTCCGAGGTGGAGCTGGTTTTGTGAAGATATTTGAGACAGAAGCAAAGAAATATAAATGTCGTTGCAATATATTTCTCAGCCTCCACTTCAGAGCAGCAGCAGCAGCCCCGACCCTATCAGGGCGTCCGCGTCAAAGAGCCTGTGAAGGAGCTCCTGAAGAGGAAGCGTGGGAACCTACACAATGCCAACACAACTGCAGCGACAACGGTAAGAGGGGAGTGAGACGCAAGCGGGAAATTCTTCCGTTCTGCCTGGATGGAAGCTCAGTCCTTGATCCCAGCCTGAGCTAAATGGGTCTGTGGTGACCACTCTTAGCTATCAGACAGGTCTTTGCATCATACACTGAATATAAGGAAAAACTTCTTCACGATTCATGTGTCCAGACTCTGGAATAAACTCCCAGTGGGGGTGGTGCAGGCACCTACCCTGGAGAGCTTCAAAAGGAGCCTGGACGCGCACCTTTCTGGGGTTATTTGACCCCCACAGTCTTTCCTGCCCAGAGCAGGGCCCAATGATCTCATGAGGTCCCTTCTAGCCCTAAACTTCTGTGAATCTGTGAAACACAGAACCTTTTTATCCCATTTTCATTAATTAGTCCTCATGACCTCCCAGGAGTTAAGTAAACATTATTATCCTTGATCTATTGGCTCAGTAGTGTAAGGGGCTGAGCAACTCTCCTGGGATTGAATTGAGGTTGACATATTCAGTCCATTGCAGGATCCTGCCTCTTGATGGATAGGACAAAGTGATTTTCCCACATGCAGTTTGTATCTAGAGGCAGTGTCAGAACTGGGACTAAAACTTGGGAAGTGGATGGTGCACAGGCTGGTACTCGCATCACCAAGTTAGGTGTCTGTCCAGGGTTCCCTTTTCATAAGTGTGAGGTACACTGATATAATAGGGTCCTGATCCTTCCAAAGAGAAGGATCTTCTCAGGCTCTTTTGAAAATACAATCTTAAAATACCATCTTAAAATGCATGCAAAATTTCTTGCATGCATACCAGCCTCTGGCTTCAGTCCATCCAATAAATTCTCCTCCATGGAGTTTGTTTTCCTGCTCTACAGTTGGCAGAAACTTCTACCTGTTATGAAGTAAAACAGGTACCAGACATCTTCTGCTCTGTAGGAAACATCCAAGTGAAGCACGACAATTTTTAAAGCTACTAAAACCATTAGAAAGACAGTTCTTTAGCTACTCCTTCCTTAGCCTTAGGTTAAGTGCATTCGTTCTTCCAAAAGAAAACACTTTGACTGGCTCTTCACTGAAAATGAAACTCCTTTTGTGGAACACAGCAGCACAGCAAACCTCAGTGCCACAGATCTTGCGCTTGGCCTCTGTACGAGGTTGTGCTTCACCCTGGAGCAGTTGCCAGTGTTTGTTCTCATATTTATTTGGCTAATGCACAACTGGTATGCTGAGCCAAGCAGGTGCAATGAAGCATTGAATGGGAATGAGTTTATTGTATTGATACTTCAGGCTTGGGCAAATGTATCTCAGGAGAGATTGGGTTGAACTGTTACAGCAATAACTGCTATCTAAATGTTCTTCTCTGTTTTCCAGGTGGTTTTGCCCCATCAGCCGCTACCATCCTATTCACCCATTGGTAATGCTTCCAAACATTTCTTTCCATTTGCTTATCAGCTGATTTTCAAGCCAGGCTTTTGGCTGATGTTTTGAACAATTCTAATCTTTTTTTACAGGCCAGCCTTGCATTGACATGGATGTCACAGCCTCTGCTTTGCCAATTACTGAGGAAGGGGCATTGTGTTCTGGTTGGCTCTCGCAGCCTTCTCCTGCATCCCTCCAGCCCTTAACTCAGTGGACAACTTACCCAGATTACGTGTCACACGAAGCAGTCAGCTGCCCATATACAGCAGACATGTATGTTCAGCCGATGTGCCCCAGTTACACACTCGTTGGACCATCTTCAGTTCTGACTTACGCCTCTCAGCCCCTGATCACCAACTTTGCGGTAAGCTGAAGATGCCTAGGAGCGAACAAAAGCCAAAATAGTTTCCCATAAAACCTGCGAGAAGCCCCTGATTTAATCGATATCTAAATTTATCTTTATTACTTGGGTGGCTTTGCACCCATGCCACGTTCCCATAGATTACCAAGAGCTGTTTCTGCAGTAAAAGTTTCAGAAGTGGCACTAGAAAATCAGACCTGTTTTCTTTTGCCAGAAGTAAATTTGTAGGGAGGATAGTTCAGAGGGAGAATGCACTCTCAGTGCAACTGTCACGGTAACTATCTTTTCATGGTCTGAATCACCCATGTGGTTCTCTATGTGAACTACAACTTCCAGTCGGTATTTTGTCTAATGTGAAGTTATGTCCTGATTCCCTCTCTGCTTGACCCTTGAAATTAAGAGGAATTGTTCTGAGAATCATTATGGTTGAAAGGGATGAAAAAAGTGACTGTGTGGAAGTCGGACAGTATCCAATTTTCTCAACAAAGCTGTCATTTTCCAAGCTCCTACAAAGCCTCCAGCACTTACCACCTAATTAACTCACGAGCCATTCTGCATTGTTCTCTCGAGGCCTTATCCAGCCAGCTGCCATTGAAGTCAATAGTGTGATTGCCATTGATTTCACCAGGAGCTGGATCCAGCCCATAAGCAATTTTTATCTTAGGAGAATATCGTTTGCAGTGGGAAAAAAATAATGGCAAGAAATAAAGTTCTGTTGCTATCAGATCTAGCTTAATGGGGATTCCTATGGCTTTGATTCATGGAGCACAAGAAGGTACAATTAAAACGAACCATAAATTATCATCTCCTGTTCAGATGCATAGAATATCAGATATCAAATGCACAATGGGCTCTGTTGTCTGGACAGTCCCATAGGGCAGAATTGCACTTGAACGTCTGGACTGAGTGTTCAGCTAGTGCTTCAACCTTTATTGTTCATTAGGATTTTTTTAAATGACTGTTGCCTTTTTCTTTAAAACAAATAAAATAAAACCATTCTGTGAGACCAGGCAAAGCTTTTCCTGTGAACTCTTCGAAAAACATAGCTTTTGTGTTCAGGGCCAATGTAATTTGTGAATTGGAGTCTGATTTCTGGTTGAAGCAAAATGAAATGCTTGCCTTTCTGAAAAAGGAGATAAAGTTTTGTCTGGATTGTCACAAACTGATCCTCCCTTCTCCCACCCACTTCTCCCGCCATTTTGCAGTTCAGCCACTGAACTGAAAAATTCAGTATCTCCTGGGCTTTATTACCAGAGGGATTGTGTCTTCCCTAGTAAACCGAGTTATGCTTAACTGTGTTTAGGAGTTAGTTGACATGATGCTGACCATGATTGCTTAACCTAGAGAAGGACAAGCTGTGTTCAGCATTCTGGGCGCGTCTGCACATTCAATTAATGTGCCTTAGGTAATGCTCATTAAATCTAGTACCTGCATTGTGGGGTACTGGAAAGATGCGTATTGGCTTATTTTAATGTGCATTAGCTAAAGAGCACTTTTTGGGGGGTGATGCTTTGATGCACATTAAAATAGGCTAACGTGCATTAAAGCACACATGTAGATATGCCCTAGGTTGCCTACATGGCACATCCTATTCATACACTTACATGCTAATAGGGCACTGTCAAACAGGCAGCCTGTCCTAATCTTGAACTGACAGCCTTGTAAGCTCACAAGAATTGAGGTGGAAAGGAGGACAGAAAGATGGTGGGAGCACAGTTTGCACAAGTGCATTCAGCAGGGTGTGATCCCACCTGTTGTGGCTTCCTGGTGGATGGGTTTTTAAAAGAGTTGCATTTCCCATTCTCATCTCCATGTGCACCTACACAAAGACAGGGAAAGGAGTGCTGGCAGCAAGACTTAGAAGCTCTTACTCTGATCTCTTTTGTACGTAACAGCCCAGAAGCACCACTCCAGCTGTGGTGCCTCAGCTGGAGGTGACAGACCAACAAGCACCTCTGACCTATTTCCCGTGGCCGCAGCCCATCTCGGCATTACCGGCATCAACCCTGCAGTATCAGCCAGCTTCCTCCACGCTTCCTGGGCCGCAGTTTGTCCCACTTCCCATCTCCATCCCAGAGCCAGCCCCACAGGAACTGGAGGACGCGAGAAGAGTGATCAGCACACTGCCCATTGAAAAGCTGCTGCTAGAAGATGACGACAACGATACGTACGTTTTAAATAACACTCTCTCTGTCGAAGGGCTTTAAAGTCATGTATTTGGGGCCTGATGCTGCTTTCCTCGCTCACCCAAAACTCCAACTTGCAACACAAGTTTTGAGCATAGAAGAAAAGTAGCTTTGGGCCATTTTGTTTCTTCTTAAGATGTTCCTGGCATTCCCCATTACTGTTCCCTTGGTATGAAAATTGAACTTGCAGTGAAATTCCTCTGTATGCGGAGGATGAGGCTTACGCATCATTAATGTGCTTACCATATTAATGCTTCCAAATTGGGTACATAGATTTGGTGTTGACTGTCAACACGGGGTGAATTTCATCCTGGGATGTGCAGGGTGGTCTCAAACTGACACAGGTGTTTTGGTAGCACATTTGCTAATGCTGTAGTCCCCTTTTGTAGCGTGTGGTAAGACAGACTTGCCTACAAAAGTATTAGCAAGTTTAATTTGCGGGTCTATTTTCTAGAGCTCTGCCTAAATATTACGTAGATCTATCTTTGCTTTGTTCACTCCACCAACTCCACTGCCACCATTAAGTTGTTTCAGAAAAGATCAGTGACAGTGCTGGGCCTGAAATGACATATCCTTGTAATTAGACAGCCTTTGGAAAATATTCATTCTACATTTAGGAATAGTTCCACTCCTGTGTAAGCACAGCTTGGTAGCCAAGCAAAAGGCTGATATCAGAAACAGAACCGCTGAGCCACAGGCCTGTGCTGAGATGCAGCCGGTGCTCTGTATTGTTACAGAGCTGCCCCCAAAGAATTGGGCACTTGCATCCTGATTTCATTCACTGAACATGGTGACCAAATTCTCAGACACTTCTTGACCCAGAGCTGCAGAATCAGCCCAGAGCTGTTAAACAGCAGTGAAGTATTTCCATGTGAAATGTTTCCCCATAACATTAGTGCATGGCTCTCCTGCAGTGGCACACAGAACAGACCCTGGGCTCATACCAGTCAAGGAGAGTTCTGCAAGGTGCAGCTCCAGGACAGAAGGTCGTGGAAATAAATGACCTGCTAAAACCAGGCACTTGGTATCTCAACAAAGTGCAGGTGGGTGGCAATGCAGGCAGCTGGCAGCACTGCAGTTCTTTCTCTTACTCTTGAGCCTTAGCCATTGGAATGATGATATATCATCATGATGTATGATACAACATCCCCTGAAACTGGGGATGGGCCATGTTAAATACCAGAGCTGTTGAGGCCTCTAATGTATCTTATCAATATTCCTAGTATTAGAGAGTCTTTTAAAGTCTTGGGCCTGAACAGCACCATCATGCTGGTTTCTTTTTCTTCCCTGGAAAGCGAGCAGCATTCACTTCCCTCTGTAATGCAGTTGTAAAGATCATTATTGGAGTTCAATAGTACCATGCCACAGACCAAGATCCTTGCAGGAGGCTGTATCTCTTTTAGCATTTGCTAATTGTTTCTTGGATTTCCAAGGGAGTCCCAGCTGATGAACACAATTTCTCTGGGTTTTTCTGCTTCACAAAGCCCAGGATCTTCAGATGATTCTATATTTGGAAGACCATTTTGGACTGAATTTATTCAAAGGGCTGCTCCCTCACACTGTCATGACCTGGTGTCCAGTGCTCCATTTCTTACCCAGGCAATATTTCAAATGGCATCTCAGATTTTGCCTGAGTAAGGACTACAGGATGAGGTTGAAAGTCCATAAGAATTTCAAAGCAGGTTTCAAAATTAACTATTGGCAAATCTAAAGGATTTAAGCATCAGATCATATCAGCGATCATAAAGTTGTCTGAAAACTCCAGTCATTTTAGCTTATTGATGATATTAGTGGCTTAAATTTGCAGAAAAACCCAGCAAAGAAATTAACTAGCAGAGGCTTGGTTCACCACTGTTTACTCCAGGTTTGCAAAGACAGCCAAGTTATCCTGGTCTAGGACTGGGGTGGCACAGTTGTGAATCAGACCTGAGGTTGCTACGATTTGTGTTAACCTTCTTTGAGTTTCTTGTATGTAAAATCCCCTGGTGTGTACACAGTGATGATGTGTTGTCTGTGAATTTCTTTCTGGGTTGTTCTGTTAAATGAAAAAAAAAAAGAAAAAAAAATCTCAATAAAGATCTACAGTAACTTTTCTATGCCTGGAGTGTTTTCTTTTCCTAGCTGTGGCATTTGGCACACTATAACCATGCTGGTCTGAAATCAATAATGTTAGCTTGATAGCATATTTGAAAAAATATAAACAGAGATTAGTGATTTGGCTTTGCACTGATTTTTGAAATATAATGTACACTGAACACGGATGCCAAGACCTGAAAGTGGTCTCAAAACCTGGCTCTCTGGAGTAGTCCTTACTCTTGCAAGTCATGCCTCTGTTCATGTTTGTATCATGATGCCTTTTATCTCTATCCCTGTAGTGCCTACAGGCTTTCAGTGCCTGTGGGGCATATCACCCCAGCCTCTTTACAAACACATAGCAGGAGATGCCTCCTGTCTTGAAGGGCCTGAACTCTCAATGGAGAAGATAGACAAGTCAAGCATCTGGGTGGAATAAAGCTGAGAGGTCTGCTGACCTCCAGTCCAGTGGTTTATCTACCTGTTAGATCCTCACCTGCTAGGGAAGACAGAAAAGATTGGCATGATCGTACATTGGCAGGATCAGGCCAAACTCTGCTGGTACAGCTGAAGCTCCACTGTGAAGCTGTGCGATGTTACCTCAACAGACAATTGGTCTGTGCAATAACTTTGGACCCTGATTTGTTTCCTTCATATTGTGTCAGCCCTTTGGAAAGCAGATTCCTTTTTGCTAATTTGGCCAAGTTAACTGGCACCCTAATGCAGTTTGATGGATTGATAATGCATTAAGGTTTCAGCACCTTTGTATTTTTTCTCTTGAGGTTGAAAGCCCACATACTTTAGCTGACGCACTCCCTAACATGGCCCTAGTCCCAATAGCCTTCATTCCATGCAGACGTCTCCTTATTCTGGCAGAAATAATCTGTGCAAAAAGTGAGGGGGTGTGGGTTAGAAATCAGACAAGCAGTTAACCTTTGCAGGCCTTTTCAGACACAGTAGAATATGGGCCTGGAACAAACCGTTTGAGGCAACTGCAAAGAGCAGAACAGAGTCGACTATGAAAACAATTATTTGTCCCTCATCTTTTAAGGGGAACTTGCAGGATAACATTTTGGAATGAGAAAGCAGGCCAGCAGAATGGCAATACCACCAATGCCCACCATGTGATATTTCCCATTGTGGAAATTTTAGATCCTAATTTCCTTTCGGTGCACACAGCTGGAGAGTCCAGAGTCCCCTGCGTAGAGCCACAAAGCAGAGGTTTTGTAAAACTTAACCGCAGGGATGACCCATGCCGAGGCAGTGATCAGTGTCTTTATTTGCTGTCTTAGAATTCTACATATTTATGCAGCTAAAGGTATGAGGGCGTACACGCTGGCAGCCGCAGAGCGGATGAGAGAACTGCGAAGACTCGATGCCAAGGAGCACAGAGGAAAGGTAAATTTTTTTACCTTTTTTATTTTTAAAGCAGGAAGCATGCCTTTTTCCTGGTAAAATCAGAAGTGCAGCCTTGGGGCCATCCATGGTTTTTAATTCCATTTCGTGTCTACCATAAAACATGTGGAACACAAGTAATGGGGGTGAATTGCTTGGGGGTGAATTTCACCCTGGGAACAGTGCAAGATTTGCTTCACGGCTTCAAGCTGGTAGCTCAGGCAGGTCAAGCTTCTGTCTCTCCCCCTACTCTAGACCAATATGGCTACAACCTGGATCCCTGACCTATCCCAAGAGGCATATTGCACTCTGCCGGGAGCTCTCTCGGGCAACAGGAGGGTTCATTCTTCCCTGCACCGACTACTTCCAGCCCCATTTTCTTTTGTTGGTAATCTGTCATGCTGTTGCCAGAGTCTTGCATTATATTTATTTTGGTGCTATTTTCAGACTCCTCTGTTGGTGGCTGTAACTGCCAAGCAGCCAGCCATAGTCAATGATTTGCTACTGACAGGGGCAGATGTCAGTGCTGTTGATGACAAAGGGCAATCAGCTTTACACCTCGCTGCGACATATGGCTACGTGCAGGTCCTCCAGGTAAGAAGGGCTTTATGATTTTAATGGCACACACTGTAAAAAATGCAATAAAATGGCATGACTGATTGAGAGATCCAGGCCTAGCAGAAATGCCTCCAGAGTAAAGATGTCTGGATGTAAAGATCTTTGACTTATTTTCATGCTTTCCATTCACAAAGTTGAAGCCTATTTGCAGTGAATCCACCACTTGCCACTGCTGGAGATGGGGTTTGGGGCTAAATAGACCATTGCTCTGACCCTGTGTGACAGCTCTCATATTCTTATGTTACACTTTAGCCTTTCACTTCCAAGGAACTTGTATCACATCCAGATGGCAGTCGTAATTCATAATCTGAGTTCTGGGCCAAACCTTGTAGTTGAAATCTAGGTATATTATTTATATTGTATTAGTACCCAGAGTCTCAATCAAACCTGGGCCCTTTTGGACTCTGCTTCATATAAACATGTCAAACACATGCTCAGTGCTTTGAGCCCCCCTGAGTTAGTTTGCTGGTGGAAGAGACAATGAGAAGGTGTAACAACCAAACAGAAGGAGACATTTTTGTTTGTATTTCAAAGGGCACATCTACACAACAGACCTCTTCCAGCACAGCTTTGTTGGTGGGACATGAGCCCTGATGGATTGGGCTATGCCAGCAAAATTCCCTACACAATCCCTACCCATACAGCTCAGCTAGGCTGGTACAGCTCATTGTGCCTAACAGCTAGTGGTAGATAAAGCTATATCAAGAGCAGCTTTGCCAGTATAATTTACATCCACAATGGAAGCACTTTGCCATGACAGTACAGCAGCATTCTTACACGATGGGCATGTCTACACATGCATTTACGCTGGCTTCAATTTGCTGTGCAGTAAGCAGGAATAGGCTGGTATCTACATGTGCAGGTGTTAAAGCACATTAATGCTGTGTGTGGACTGACTTGGGACTCATGTTAGTCCCGAGTCAGTCCACACACACCATGTTACTGCACAATAAGGAGTCTACACGTGCGTAACTGTGCAGTAACTAATCAGGCGTAAATGTGATACCTGCATGATGCAGGTATCAAATTTATGCTCAAGTCAGCATAAGACACCATATTTACTGTGCAGTATGGGTGTGCACATGTAGACGCACACCCATACTGTGCAGTAATTTTGGTTACTGCACAGTAAATACACATGTGTGGACGTGCCCGGTAGCAATGTTTAGTGGGCTACGACTGTCCTGTTTCACAGCCTGATTCTGATGCCCTGCCTCACACTGAAGAGCACCATAGTCTTCTATTGATTTCAACAGAATTTCTTGCAGTGCAAGGTGCTTCTCAGCATGGGCGTCTAGTTCAGAATCTGACCCCTTAACAGAATCTGACCCCCCGTTTGCTAATAGAAGCCCTTTGCCTCTCTCTGTTTCTGTCTCTCTCTTTCTCTCTCTCTGTCTCCAGTCCACTCCCAGTATAGGCAGCTTCATGGCAGAAAGTTATGGCCACTGTACTGATGGGATTTCACTAGGCTTGGGGCCACATTTCTTCTAATGGTGGGGCCTCAGTGTGAATGAAGAGTGTAGCAGGATCACGTCAGTTCTAGCAGTTGAATTCCATCACCAGCTAACTGCACATCACACACCCTAAGTTAAGTCATGAGAAGGAAGTTAACGTGTAACATAATGAGTGCTTAAAACAACATGCCTTTCCTTCGGCTTAACAAAGTGCTGCGTTCTCAACAGATGCACTCCTGATGAGACACTTGTAAAACCTACAGAATGCTTTTCTTCATCTTGTTCACTGGAATACTTTTGCCCCGTTCTTGTTATGCAGTGTGTATTACAGCACAAGCTCTCATAATCAAAAATCTCAATCAAGATACTAAAATATGGATGAGTGAAGCTATTTCACAAAAGCAAGAAAAGTGTAGTCCCTTTTAATATTTCATATGAAAGGCTTCTATGCAGTACTGTGCTAAATCAATCGCCACAAAGACCTGAATGTGTCCAAATGACTCTTTCTGCATCCGATCCAAATCGTGCTCCTTTCCCTAGGAGTATTTAACTACTTTTATAAGTTTCTCTAGCAGGCCACCCCAGACGTTATAATCAGATGTGTTTGTATCACCCTGTCATGTTTCCCACATAAAAATGTTATGATATGAATATTTCCAGTGCCAATTGACCTTTAGGAAATAAAGAGCTTGTTAATTATTGCTTTCCAAGACAACTCTGAATATTTTTGCATTCACATTACAGAGACAGGAGGGGGATTTAAGAGGCTTGGAATTTTACTGTTTGTTAGCTGAGAATTTCAATACATGGGTTTCCTTTTCTGGGAGGCGTTGGCTACATTTTAGGGTGGTTAAATTTAGACTCAGAGGAGCTGATATTAAGTCCTCTTTTGAAGGTTTAGGTGGAGCCTTATGCCTTGTCCAGCAGTGAATTTCATCCTTTATGACCTAGATCCACGAGGCTAAAAGCCAGTGATGGCTGGTGGCTGAGTTTAAAACCAAAAAATAGTTACCTCATTTCTTGGCCAGCTGTAGTTTTAGCCAGTTGAAATTCCTGCTAATCGGTTGGCTCTGTTCAAAATGTTTGTGGGTGCTTTGATTGTTTTGTGTTAGACAACACTTGCTGAGAAAGTTCTCCTGTGCTTCCATCAACTCCAGGTTATAATGTCATCAGGCCTTCCTCTGGACCTAGAAATGAAGGATTTTGAAGGTAAGGCCATTTGAGTTTTTCCCTTTCCCCCCATAGTTCAATGTTTATACTGGAATAATAAAAATAAATAATCATTCTGATGAGTATATGGGGCCCAGATTTGTAGCCAGTGAAGGCTGAAGGAGCTGTAGGCCTCACAGGTTTTGATTCAGGAAAAACTTAATCATGTTCTGACATCCCGTTTTATTCACCGGTGCTTAAGCAGATGCTTACAGTTAAGAACACACTACCTGAATGGAGGCTGTAATGGATTATAGAGGGCTGTATAATAGGGAATAGAGTATAAATAATGTATCCCAAGCTTTAGGGTCTGGAATGTGTCATCCAGCTGATCCGGGAAGCATGCTGTAGTGCTCCCCGGCTTCTGACCTGGACCACTGCAGGCCTGTGGCTGTATTTCCAGAATCAAAACTGAATGTCTGTTTACCTGCATATCGGTTCAATCTACCCAGCTTAGACTAACCTGAGAAGATTGAATAGATTCAACCTTGGGCTTTTTGAGTGTCTGTACTTAGCCTGGTTGCTTTGGGTTAATTGTGCACCAGGATCCTCCAAGAACACCGGGAGCCACACTGGGAAAATAGCTGAGAATGAGGCCAAGATCTAGAGCAAGTGCCAGTGACTACATAGAATTGGCTTTAATTGTGCCATGTCTGTGCCAGTCCACCCAAGCAAGGTGATTCACCCTCAGGGAAGAGAAGTGAGACCTCCCAACCTAGGTCTAGGACTAGATGCAACTGGCAGAGGAAACACCCAGTTAAATAAAGGAACATGGAGAGTGACCTCTTTCCAGCATTTAATAGGCAGTTTGGTTCCCTGGTACAGGTGGAATTTAAAATCCAGGTGAGAGACTCACCCTGCAACTTGGCCCTTGAGGTCTCTATGTCTTGGAAGCACATCATGCATACATGCAAAACCTTTGTCCCTCACAAATCCGGGAAAGAAAACACTTTCCCCTTCTCAAGCCGCTATTCTGTGGAGGCCAAGTTAACCTCGTTTCTATTTTCTTGAAGGCCACACTCCACTCCACTGTGCCGTTCTGTCCCACAACTCCCTGCTCCGCGAGCAGCGCTGCCACTTCATGATAACAGAGGACCGGAAAAAAGAACTCCAGCACCAGATGGGGGAGGTGCAATTGTGCATCCATCTTCTAGTGCACATGGGAGCATCCATCTACAGTCGGGTATGCAGGGAATGCCTTTACTTTGTGGGACTTCATTGGTATCCCATTGTAATGTAACGGCAGCATTGGCAAGACCGAGAGACGTCTCCAAAACTGGACTCCAAGCCTACGGAGTAACATTTGTCTGCTCCAGACACTAAACTCTGCACCTTACGTTCGTACTGGAGCAGGAGGAAAAAATGTCAGTGAGAAAAGGAAGTAAATTACTTGCAAGAACAGTGACCTGTTTTTCAGCAAGCTCTAGCTGACACCTGGGAAGCTTAAAAGCAGCGGGAGAGGTGGAGCAGAGGGAGATGGTTACAGGAAGCTCTGAAGCCAATAAGCTGCAATGCAGCTGCAGTCTGATTAGCTTTTCTATTGGACAGATTTCAGAGTGATACAGTATGCAACGCATCTAATTGCTGTTCTGCCTTTCATAAACTATAAACTATTCCTATTCTATTTCTACTAAGGGCAGAGTGGTGTGTGCTTTATCATAAATAATCTGAGCAGGACAATAGCAGCGAGCTCAGGTCACAGAAATTAGAGCAAGGCTATGTTGTCGGTATATTATCAAGTGGAGCCAGGAGCTCCATTCTCTTTCAGCTCCTGACTCCTTTCCTAAAGCTTTGTGTTGTGCTGTTTATTTTTTAACAGGATGTTAAAAGCAACAAGACGGTCCTTCATTACACAGTACAGGATGGGAATGTCTTCCTGCTCAAGTATTTCTTAGAACTCAATGCTTTCAAGTCCAAGGATTTTGTCAACAGTAAGGTGAGTTAGGAAATCTTGTGGTCCATAATATGCACAAACCAAAATGACCAGGATTTTAAATTTAAAATCAGTATCACAACTGTATTCCCTGTTGGAAATTACTGTATGCAGACATAGCAGACTATCCAAACTAAATGGTACATCAGCTCTTCCAAGCAATCTTGAACCCATGCATTTTGCTCCTGTTTGTGGACCTTCTACCTGGCATCATGGAGGAAGCTTAATGCAGAAGCCAGCTTTGGAGCTTTTCATCTTGACCATGTAAAAAGTCCTATCATTTCCAGAAAAAGAAACAATTATTTGGGACAAACAAAATGTTTCATTAGACCCCAAACAAATGTTTCTTTAGACCCATTTGTTTCCAGGGTTTGTATTTCTTCTTTTAACTTTAAAGCCAAGTTTTACTAAATTTGCCTTCGCACCCTTGTTTCAGAGCAAGAAAGCAAAAAGGTTCATTTCTAAAATGCCAACATAGCAATGTTTCGACATTTCTCTTTTTTTTTTTTGGATAAAACTCTTGGCTGAATTTGATCCAAATTCATGTATGGTTTTGGTTGACCTGAACCTGCATTTCTAAGCAAGTAAATGATCCATTTGGAAAATTTCCCTCAACTCTAACACTGAGTAGCATTATCAAAATGCAGACACTTCTTATGATAAGTAATGCAGCGAGTGAGAAAGATAAGCAGGGAAAGGGCAACGGTTACTGGGTGAGGGTTATGTGTATGATTGTGTCACACTGCAAGTGGAGGAAACAGCTCTGAAATGGTGCAAAGTGCCTACGCCTGTCCTGGTGTGACTATCAGAAACACGCACAGCATGTCCATGCACGTGACTATCAGGTTCACACACAGCAGACCTCCTTGAAAACCAGCATTGTGCCTGGCATGCAGTGCCCGAGCAAGATGTGACATCCACTAGACCTAACCTTCCATCAGATACAGAACAAAGCTGTCTCCTATATACCTATTCTTCACCTTTTCTGGTCTATGTGGTCCACAGTTGCTGTGAGCAAGCCTTGTGCTGGCCTCATCTCCTGAGCTTTAGCAGACAGTCCATGGGCCAAATTTTGTTGGGTCTTGAGTCATAATAGGAGTTAGCTGTCATGTTCCATATCATTGCCTAGTCTAAATGGGCAAAATATTGTTGGCTTCAGCATGGTTTTTCCTGTTTATCCCAGGTGATGCCTGGCACAATCAGTTAAGTGTATACCTCTCAGCTTTTATACAGAATTCTTGTTTCTCCCTTTCGGCAAACGCCCTCAGTCTTGCACAACTTCTCCTTCTCCAGTGCAACATTTCTCCACCTCGGACTACATCCCAAGTCTTTGCCTAAAATCAAAATGTCCCTGTTCCTCCCTTTAAATGGGAGGTTTGTCCATGTGCAATGTGTACTTGTCGGCATCCATTCCTGAGGAATGAAGAAGGACTTATATGGCTAATGTCGCAAAATTAACTTATTGTGTTACAGAGCCAGGGAGGAAGCTTTAGAGATCACTGTTAGCATGGATGAGACCATGGTGTGAATCAAGGAGCACTGCTGACACAGGCAGAGGATCCCATCTTACACACCCATGTACTCAACAGTTAAAATCTTGCTGCCCAGTCATGAGTATACCAGAGTGACTTATCACTAGTGGGGTTTGCTTCTCAGTCTGAAACAAGATCTTGAGGAGGAATCTACCTTATCTAATATCCTTAACAGTTCTCTACATGACTCAGCATCCCAGAAGATTTGTATTCATTGCCATTAACCTGGTGAGGTCAACTTTGCCTTTCGCCCTGCAAATTTCTGTTTGACTAGGGACTGCTAGTGCCTTCTCCTTGTGTGCCTCGAGACAATTATCCTTATGTTCGTGGTCCTCATTCCTCCTTTATCTCTTAGGACCCATTATGCAGGCAAGAGCTTGTCCACTGGGGTCTGAGGTCTGATGCTATCTCCTGATTCTAATCTTTAGGCTCTTTTGACATTGATAGCATCACCTTGGAGTCTAATTGAACTGCAGTGTCTCCAGCAACCAGAAGGTCTCTGGATTGGGATCCCTTTCTGTGCTAAGGAATTTGGAGCCAACCCCTGCCCCTCTTCTGCTCTGCTGCCTTTCCAGGGAGATGCAGCAGCCTGGTCAACTGATTTTGTTAATTTTTATGCAGCTCCATCACCCTGATCCACCACTGCTTCAGGCCTCCCTTGCTCTTTTTAAAGATCTAATGTGGGAGTTTAGAGGGTCCCATTTCTGTCTGGCTTTCTTCCATTTCCCTGTAGCAGCTTGTCAAAGGAAATGTCCTTTTAATATTTACTAGCTATTGAGGTCAGGAGTAAGATATCCTAAGCAGATATTCAGGGATGTTATACTGAGTGCTTGATGAAAAGCCCAGTGAGATGAATGGGTTTGTTTTCTGAGTCCGTCCCTCAAGCCTACATAAGCACTTGACCTGGTAGATAGGAAGGGGGCAGAGACACACAAGGAGCAGGTTCTGGATTATAGATGGAGTTTGTTGTCAGGTTTTAACTTGATTTTTTTGCTGGCATCTTGCTACGATGTTGAAGTCATGCCTGTGTCTGCAGGTCCGAACTTCACCAGGATATTGAGTAAAAGCTGGCAGTTGAGATGCTCTCTTTTGACTGGCCTGGCTCATAACCTGCCAGCTTGTGGGCATTCAGCTGTCTCTTGCAGTACAAAAAAGATCCAGTCTAGCTCCAACTGAAGTCCATAGAAAGGTCCCAATGAAAGCTAGATCAGACCTTATATTGGTCAGGTTGTTTGTTTAATTCTTGCTTCCTGGAGATATCACTGGATCTGCCCGTAGACTGCTATCAAAGACACAGCAGGCAAGCACAGATGTTTCATTTTTAATGAGAAGCCATATAAATAGCTAAGCAACCGTCACTGTGTTTTATAGAAAGGTTAAGTTGACACAGTAGATTTGCTTGTAAAAATACCTTGCATTGGAAGTTGTTTTCCTAAGACAAGCTCGTAACAGTTTCAGATTTATTTGCTATTTCATTGTGCATTTTAAGATATCTTTTGCCTCACTCACGTACCTGATATAGAAATACTTTGGTATTTTTTTTATCAACTCATACTGAAATCAGTTATACCTTTCAACTTTGAAGCTTTACAATTGAGCTCATGAAACTGTTGACCAATCATCACTGTAAAGCAATTAAGTATTATTATTATATTAGTAGCATGTCAATGGACAAATAAAATAGGCAATCAATATGAATGAAGAAAGGAGCAGCATCTATCAATTGTAAAAATACGCAGCTGGTTAAAGTCATGATAATGTTCACAGAGTCTCATAAATAATGCCTTGTCACGTAATTATTTTATTAATTATTTCTCATCACACTCTTAACTCTTCTAGCTATGCATAGCTACAGATGTCAGCACCGTCCTCTCCTTGAAACTCAACCTATTGCTATACATTCCCGCGCCACCTAGCGACCTGGCAAGGAATTAGGTTGTATTTTAAGAATGTATATGATGATGAACAAAGGACCGGATTCCAGAAGGCACTTGAGCCTCTCTTTAACTTTAAGCATGTGCTTAGTTAGGGTAGAAGCTAAATTTATCTACCTGCTTTAGGTCTCTCCTGAATAAAGATGCTTTCCACAACTGGAATGCTGGGCGCAACATTTTCCCCCTAAAATAGCCATGGGACAGCTGCATGTACTGCATTCACATTGCATCACATTTTAGCATGCTTAGGTTTAACCTAGCTTCTCCACATTTGACTTTTTCATGGCCATCAAACACTAAATACTTTCTAAGTGGCCTCTCTTTCTAAACTACTGATCTGGCCTATGCCACATAGCCTGCAAACCTCTGCAAAATCAAATCTTTCTGTTTGGGAACTCTGATTGTTGGGTTGTTCATGTGCACACAAGGCTTAAAGCATCACAACCCTCAGTCAGCTGTATTGTTTCAGAATCACTGTTACCCCAGATCTGGAGCAATCCTATTGTGCCACGGCAGTCAGATTAGGCAGGATACCCTAGAGCTGCCAGTCTCTTTCAGCCTTCTCATCTCTACCTTGATAATTCTCCATGTTATAAACCCAGAGTAGGGAAGGGAGTGGTGCACTTTATTCCTGGCCCTGACTATAAGATGTGCCCCTAGGCTCACGGGAACACAGCTTTGCACATGGCGGCTGCCCTCCATCGTGACAAAAACCAGGAAGAAATTGTCAAGCTGCTCCTAGACCATGGGGCAGACCCAAGCATCAGAAACTTGGACAATGACCAGGCAATTCACATGGTGCCGGCAGGAAAGGCTGGGGATCAGGTAAGCATTACATCCCATGTGTAGTGTATATGTGTTAAACAGATATCATTTCTCTGTAGATACATGCATCTCTAGAGAGGTAGTAAGGATGAAATAGGCCAAAATTTCCCTTTTGCTCCAGTGCGTTTCACTCCACTTGTACTCCATTCAGGGCAGAGTTTCTATGAGGCTCCTGCTGCAGTTGCCATTGCTATTGTAAGTTGTAAGGCCCAGATTGTAAGGGCATCATTGTTTTCTGACTGTGTTGGTTTTCGGGGGGAGGTAGCTTGAAGCCCTCAACAGGGGCCAGATTTTGGAAGATGCAGAGTGACTCCTCTCCGCAAGGGCAGGTCCCTAGAGGTGTCTCCAGTGGGGACCCACAATTACTAGTCACTTTAGAAAAATCTTGGCCCAAATCTGGCATTCCAAGGGGGTTCCCAGCCTCCCTTCCCCCCTGCTCTGAGCAGCAGCACAAGAGTGTCACTGCTCAACAAAAATAAGGAGAAATTCCTAGCTCTAGTTCTGCTATGATTGCTCCTGGTCAGAGTGAAGAAGAACTAGAACAGCTCTCCAAAGCAAGTGGCAAAGCCAGGATCTGCTAAAGGCAATAGAAGTAATTCCCCAAGCAATATCCTTTCCTAAACACACATACAATCCTCTCTGCATTAGCAGGGAGGCCCCATTACAGCAAAATGCTGCTAGGATCATGTAAAAGTATGTGCAGACAAAGACACGTCCCTCCTTTGGTAGCTCCAAAAGCAAGGAACACAATGCAGGGATTAACCGGTGCTCTGAGGAACGCTGAGAAATGTCAGCACCTGGCTCTTCTGCGAGGGAAAGATTCAGTCTTTGCAGGTCTGTGAGAGGCTACCTGAGCCCAGTGTAATCTGTATGGGACTGTATGCGCCACATACATGACCACATATGATTTACACAATTTTGTTCCATTCTATTATTTGTTCATGTGTTTTGTAGGTCAGGCATTTGCTGAAGAAAGGCCGGGTCGCATCAACGCTCGCATCCTGCCGTCGAAATGCCCAATGCTAGATGGCCTGCAACTTTGGAGGGAGTATTTTGTGTCGTCTTTGTGATCATGCTGCCCCTCTTGCAGAGTCCGTGCTAGTAATTAACCACTGAAACAGCTCGTCTTGTGGCCTGATGGTTTTCTTAGTCCACAGAGCCTTTAAATTGAGACTTGAATGGCTTTGTAGAAGAGGTGCTGTAGTCTGTCCATAAGTTGTGGAGCTCTGCACAGGCACTTCAGGGTGAAATTCAGTGCCTTGTTTTGTGGGAGCTCAGCCCCCTCTGCCTTTAAAATCCACGAAGAACGAAAAGCTACGACTTCAGCTCTGAGAGCAAGTGTGCCACAGGCAAGTAGGTCAAGCTCATCTCTGTATTTCAGAACCTCTGAACCAAAGGCGTCTAAAGGGAAGGTTCGCCAAGTTGTCCTGCCGCGCTGTACCTGGGAGTGTGGTGCCAGTGCGGTGTTGTCAATGCTCAGCACACACACATGGATCTGGCTTCTTGCTCTAAGAAGGGAAAGCAGGAGCTCACGGAGCCGGGTCCCAACTAGTATGATTTGAATAGCTCCACTGCTGTCAATACTGCTGCTCTGATTTACCTCCGCTGAAGATCTGGCTCAGGAGCTCTATTTAGCATTTCAGTAACTGGAATTCACCACAGATCCTGTATATAAAACAACCAGGCCTAGCTGATCATACGGCCTTATCTTAGGCAAATCTGCAATGACTGGTGGGATGCTGCCGCTCTAATCAGGCAGTTAAGAGGGACGAGGAAATCAGATTCTCCTACAAAAGTCAGGTCATGACGTTAAAGGGACCAGCAGAGAACACAGTGACTGGTTGATTCATTGCAAGTGCAAAAGTGAACGTAGACTGCCAGTCGCATGCTCTAGCTGCTCCAAAAAGGAAATCAAAGCCTAAGGAAATCCAGAGTTTAAGGCTCACTGGATTTTACTCTCAGGTTCAAATGTATTTAAATTTATATTTTATAAAACTGTTTAAGTAAACAAAACCTACCCTATATGGTGAGCAATATTCAGGATACTCATCTGAGGTTTCAGCTCAGTACATCCTAGCAGGAACGATCGTTCCAGAAGCATTAAAATAAAAGAATTTAGATGTCTCCTTGGCTGCAACCAGGGATTGTGTAGCATGCGTGATGGGGGGGTGCCAAGAGCCCCCACAAGAGAGATACAGGACATGGAAGTCAACAGAAATAAAGAAACTGCAAACTGCACATGAAGGATCTCCTAGAGGACTGGGGGTAAAGACAGGACTGTATAGCACACTCTTCTACTGACATTCGTAATGGAATGTGCATTGTAATGGGTTCTCCCTATTCTTTCTGTGAAATGATTTGTGAATTGCTGTGCAATTGTAGAGTGAGAATGATGTTGCTGCTGAGCCAGTAGCAATGTAGGAGAACAAAAGTGACATGTGGTAAATCAGCTCTGGTAAAGCATTCCTTTTTTTTTTAATGATATTTAATACGTACAACTACGCATCTTTAGTGGCTCTTTGTCACATTCTCAGGATAACACAGAGGAATTTTAGCAGAATTAAACAAAAAAATGAAGGGTAAACTCACTTAACAGAGACGCAAGTGACTTGATTAATCATCCAGTGTCTGATTTTTCACAAGTACATCCAAGTTGCTTAAGAGTCTTGAAAATTTTGCTGAGAATTTTAAACGAGGTGGTTAGCAGGTTTAGATGAAAGCCATTTAGAAATATAGATATGTTGATTAGAGATTGCTGCAACTCCCAGCCCTTTCTCTAGCCTTCCCCTTCCACTATCTGATTACCTCCTCTAAGTACATCGGGTCTACATACCTGTCAACATCCTCTGACAAAAATATTGATTGTATATTTGCATGTGTTTGCATATATTTGCATAAATTCAGGCACAAGGCAGCCAAAGTGCATGCCTTCTTATTTTGAAGATATGCTGTAGCAAACTCGGATGTGGGGAGTACTTGCATTCGTGCAGCACTGCCATATGTATGGATGTAAATAAATAAGTCTCCACGTATTTCAACTGCTGCCATCAAACCCGCCGAGTCTGTGCATGTCACTCACTTGTCAGACCAGCTTAAAGATCCTACTCAAGTGGAATTTGATGTGAAAAGCTCTTTGCCTCTTAAGCTTATTTGTAAAAATGTATTCTGTCTCTCCCTGGAACAGGTGGAATAAAGCATTCAACTCTTCTTCACCTGATGCAAGTGCAGAAGCTCTTACCTCACCTGCTCATTTACCCTGCCATGCGAAAGGCTGAGCAGTTAATAATACCAGTGAATAATAATACCATCGAGTAATACCATGAGTAATACCAGTTAATAATACCATCGCTTTTATGTATCACTTTCCAGCTATAGATCTCAGCGTTCTGTTTAACAGATGGAAAGCATCTGTCTCTTCCTTTCACCAAAGCCTGGAAGATGGTGTGACTTGCAGGGTGAGTCAGGGGAAGAGCTGGGAAGAGACTGCAGGTCTGCCAGCTCCTCAGCAGATCAGAGAGAGCTCAGCTTCCCCACTAGACTAGAGCAGGCATCCTTACAAGGGCTGCTTTCCACCTTTCCTCCCTGAATGGCAGTGCTCTGCATTCCTCCTTTAATTATGCTGTTATTGGAAGACATAATTCATGACTAGAAACTATAAATTGTGCATGTGCGTGCATGTGTGCACAACAGTAAAGCTGCTAACCCAACATGATGCCTGGCTCTGTATTGCCCCAAGACCCTTTTTGCACTCTCCCAGTTAGAAAGAGGCCTTAATATGAGAAGAGCAGCAATATCCAACAGATCTACCTCAGACACTGCCTAAGGGACCTAAGAGGACCTTGATGTCATTGTGAAGCAGACTCAAGAGTGCTACAAATAAAACATGAGGTAGAATTTGTATTAAGAGTAGTAACAGATGCTTAATAATTGTAATCATCAGTATATTAATGAATGCATTTGACAAAAGACTCACTAGGCTGTGTAAAATCATGCTGTTCTCCTCCTCTCCTAATACAATTTCCCCCGTAGAAATAAGAGCCTGGGTCCAGACTGTTTAAAATGAACCGAGATGTTTGCTTAGCCACACGACAAGTGATAGCACCACCTGATAACAGGACCTCTACAGAGTGCCCTGTGCAGAGCACAAGTATAAGACCTGGGCACCACTAAATCCCCCTTATGGCTGCACAATAGGGCTTAAATAATGCCTGGGCTTTGGGCTGGCTCTGCCCCAGGGAAGGTCATGCACCGAACAGTACCCTCCTCTGCAATTTGTCCCATTGCTCAATTCAAGGGATAATGCACCATGAGAAAGGGTGGCAGAATCTGACCCCATGTTTAGACAGGCTTATCCTTTCCAACTGGGGACGCAGGACAAGTTGTTAGTAACAAAGAGCTGTTATCATTAAACAAATGGTCTGGAGAAGTGGCACTGCAGAAACTCTCCAATGGGTCTGTTGTAGAGAGCAAAGAGCTTGTATTTGCTGAGTTAACTGAGTGCACAGATCCTAGATCTGAGAGGCTTTAATTGTGCCTACATCTGCACATTGCAGTTTGAAATGAGAAAGCTAAAAGGCTTGATCTAAAGTGTCTGTAAGAAAAGGAATATCTTAATAGTAATAGCGAGCAAGTGAGAGAGAGACGGACCTTTAATTATAAAGGTATTAGCTGAATCCCCAGGTGGTGCATGTCATTGTAACTGCAGTGATGTCCATGGGTCCTTGCCAGTTTGCTCTGGTTGAGGATCCAATATACTCTTTTTTAAACATATAGGAAGGGGAAGAAAAATAGCTTTTCTTATTGTTGGAAATGCCAAGGATCAGCCTTTGATGAACTGTCTGCTTCGATCCCTGGCTTTCTGTTCATAGCCCTGAGATCGCTGTGTCAACAGCTGGCAAGTTTTTACATGCACAGAATGTGTCATCGAAAATGAATGAAAGTCCCAAAGAACCTGAAAACATTACAACAAACATCTCTAATATGTTTCCAGTCCCAGGCTCAGAGATTGATTAAAGAAAATGAGAAAGAGCAGCCGAGGAACCCGATGACTTTACTCTCATTCAACATGGCTGTGAAAGGTCAAGAAGATGGTGCGGTTTGTTGATTAAAAATCCTCAGTTGGAGGCTGGGAACAGAAATGTCATTGTGGGTGTCCAGACTCCTGGGCAAAGCATGGTGACCAAAGCACAAGAAACAGCTGAAGGGGCAAAACTGCTTCAGAGGCTCCACTACCAGGCTGAATCTGCATCCCTATGCTGCATGCTTCCTCCTCGGGGCAAGAGGAGGGCCCCATGAATCCTGGGGTTCCCATGCTGCTTTAAGTGCTAGAGCAGTTTAAAGGGGCTTGAAGATGAATGGAAAGGAGATCCCGAATGGGACAGGTGCTTGGGCTTTCTCTCTAAATAGATTCCTTCCCAATCACTTCTTTATCTAGTAATCATGCAGCTTTTTGAAGGACACACCGAAGAGAAAGGAAAAACAGAGTAGGGATCTTTCAGGGCTTCCCCTAGAGCTCAACTTCACCTTTCTGCCTTGCTGGGCTATGTGCTGGAGGATTAATACAGGTAAGTTGTTATTTTCTTTTGTTGGTCTCCAATGAAAAACAGCTTCTTATGGAAAGCATCAGTGAAGGCAGAAGGGTCTGTGCCAGAAGACAGGGCTTCAATTCTCATTCCTGCCTTCACAGCCATGGATTTGGGGCAAGACCTGTGCTGTGAGATGGGAATAATGCTTGTCTGTTTTGTTTCACCCCCATCTATATGCTGATAGCCTGGTACTTTGGCTATCTGCCTGTGAAGCCAAGACATGCTGTTGCACTGTCACACACCTGTCACCATTTAGCACTGAAGTTGTTGAGTTCCTTGCTGTCACCATTCACCTGGTAACCGCCCAGAAGGAAGCTGGGGGTGGTAATTATTAATCTCATTACAGAAAGATAAATTAATGAATTGGCTGATTTTTCCTTCCTAAGGCTCCTTTAACATTCTGGGATCCTGCATTCGAACACCTTTCCCTGTTTGTCACAGATTCAGGCTGAAGTTTTCAAAACTTAAGTAGAAGATTAAGTCCATCTGTGTGCATGCATTTAATAGAAATTGGGCATCCAGACCTTAATAGATGGCTGTGAAAATCCTAGCTCAGCCTTCATCTCCTACAGCTGTGAGCCTCCATAGCCTCTCTTCTACATGATGAAGCTGGCAGATGTGATTGCAACATGTTAGTCATACCCAAACCAATAATGGAGCAGCACCACAAACACAACCCTGCCCCAGACCCCAATTTTTTAGAAGTGGAGACCCAGGCTAATCTACAAGGACCCAACCCACCTTAATAAAAGCTAGCTCTGGTATGTGCATGCATGCTGCAGTCAGCCCCTTGACTGCAGTGTGGGTATAACCTAAGTCTGAAATATTCCCCTTAACTAGTATGTGCAGCCAGAAAATGCAAAGATAATAGATCCAGGCCTATATAATGTTGGTGGGAATCTTATAAAACCTGGATAGACTGGTTGATTTTAGCTTAAATTGCCAAAGCCCTCCAGACCAAACTAGAAAAAAAAATGTTGCAGAATTTGGTTAATCCAAGAGCAAAAGCAACCAGCTTTCTGTTGTTTGTAGGGGCCCAGGTTTCACCACAGGATTCCTTGACTTGCCTGTCAATATAAGAACAACATCAATAGCATATAGCCCAGTCTCCAGGAGAGAAGACCATCCTGTAGAGACCTTGGAAAGA